GGAGCATCCCTATGGAAGATGCCTGGGTGATTTCAGACCAGCCACAGACTTTCTGCCTAACCTACCTTACAGCGTTGCTGTACAGATCGCAAAGCCAAAGAGAATGAGGTAAGCTGCTTTGCTCCCCACTAATGAGAAAGACAGAATTTTGCCTAGAAAGAGGCTGCTGAAAGGGGAGGAGATAAAGTTGCCAGCTTTAGGTATGGAAATTCCTGGAGATTTGAGGGGTGGAGCCTGGGTTACAATTGCTCCCACTCTCCAGGTGAGGGCTAGAGATCACTCAAAATTACAACTGCTCTTCAGGTAGCACAGATCAGTCCCTCTGGAGAAAACAGTGGACTCTGTCATTATACCCTGCTGAGGTCGCCACAGCAAATTGACACTGTTTGCCCAAAGCCAGAGCACTCTCCCAGAGCCTCTTTCTAGATGCTGTTGTATTTATTTCCACAACGGGCCTTATTTCTAGTCTGAGGTATACAGCAGAATGAGAGGTGATCCTACTCAAAGAGTATGACTAGTGCTTGAATGTGATGATTGACAGATATAATGAAACAGACATTGCCATCATTGCCTGTGAGCAGCAAATTCAGTCCTTCCTCGTGCCCTGCTTTTTGCCCTGTTCCTCCCCCACCACCTAAATTTAATATTTGTATTGACAAAGGCCAACAGAATCTCCTTCTGGGCCTGTTCTAGGATTGCTTTGCACAGCATTGCTGATTAATCAAAATTGTAATCTGCAGCAGCCCTGACCTGGATAGCCCAGGCAAGACCGATCTTGTCAGATCTCAGAAGCTAAGCAGGTCTGGCCCTGGCTAGTATCTGGAAGGGAGGCCTCCAAGGAATACCAAGGCAGGTGATGGCAAACCACCTCTGAATGTCCCTTGCCTTTTAAAAAAAATAATTCTTATTTCAAAATCTCAGCATACAATAAAATCTGTAATGCAGTTACAGCAAAAAAGGCACACATGGTTTAACGCATAACTTTCTAAACAGTACCTTATCAACAAACTGACTTGCCTTCAAGGCCCACTAGGGGTTGCCAGAAGTCAGTTTGATTTGGCAGCAAAAAAGAATTATAATCTGCAGTATTCCACTATTTGGGCAAACTCCTGGTAATTTTTGCCATGCTCATCTGCTCAGTGGGCAGAAGCAGGCTGGCAAAATGGAGGGGGAGCAGTCTTCATCGCTGTACGATGATGTCACTTCTGGTGCAATCTGGAAGTTCCAGCATTGCACTGGTGTGACAATCTAGCACTCACCCAGAAACTCCATAGTGTGGAAGCAGGGCTTTTTTTGTAGACAAAGCCCAGCAGGAACTCATTAGCATATTAGGCCACACCCTGACAGCACAGCTTCTTATTCTGTTTACCTTATTTGTTGTCAAAACCCAGGGCTTTTTTTTGGTAGCAGGAACTCCTTTGCATGTTAGGCCACACATTCCTAATGTAGCCAACCCTAATGAGTTTCTGCTGTTGGGTGTGACCTATTATGCTAATGAGTTCCTGCTGGGTGTGGCCAACTCGGGAGCCAGCCAGAACTCCGTTCCTGTGCGTTCCTGCCCCAAAATAGCCCTGTGTGGAAGTGATGTCATCACACAGTGACGAAGACTGCCACCTCCCCCCTGCACTAGCTACCTGTTTCCCCTCCCCTACATCTCCTGCTAGTTGCCAGGCCATGCCTAGTAGCCCTACTTTTTAGTTTCCTGAACTCAAAGTGATTAATAAATAGAAGTGATGGAACAATTAAAAACCAGCAACCTAAAACTACAAACAAAATATACCTGGAAGGAATTGCCTTCCCAAATGCCTGTGTGATGCCACAAGTCCATCCTCAAAACCCACCTTTTCCGTTAAGCTTGTGCCACAACCCCTTAGTCCCTCTTCTCCACTGAAAAGAAACCTAAGCAGATAAGCCCCTTGGGAAATGTGCTGAAAACCAATGTGAATCCGAGCATCCTAAAATACTTTTGAGATCTGGCGGCAATACACGAAAGACCATTGTTAATAGAACTCTGGAAAGTGCTGGTCCTTCTCTCTGTGTCACCTTGAGGATAAAAAATTATGTTGTCAAGTGTGAGAAGATTGGCTGGCTGCTGTGTTTTGGAGTCAGCTTCCCCCCAACATGATTGCAGAGATTGGAAAACTTAATAAACATGAATTAAACATTAAACTTAACTCATCCGTTAGTACAATTTGTGTTCCTTCCCAATCAAATCTATTTTGATTTGGGGCTATTATGGTACAAACTCCCCCATGTAATTACCAAGCAATCAATCCCAGGAGAGAGCTTATGTCTCCACCTGTCATGCCTGGCAGCCTGAGAACAGGCCATCTTTCGGGTTGTTTAGAGAGCAAAGCCTGTTTGCTCGTGGCTGTCATAAAACCCTAGACTATGCCTGTTAATAAAAGTAAATGAAACTGCCCTAGGAAGGTGTGGCCAGAACATGCTGAGGGTTTATGCCATTTAATAACCCAGGAGGATAAGGGGGCCCGGCTCTGAAGAAGCGGCTGAGAGCCCAAGCTCTGTCAGCTGACCCATGTGGCCCACACTTGCTGCATGCCTGAGTATTTCCCTGCTTTTGTGAGGTTGTTATTTTGCACAGCTGGTCTCCCTGTTATTGGTTCCCTAGGCAGTCTGCATTTCTGCTTTCATCCAGCAATCTCCACAGCTGGCCTGCTGCCAGGGTGTTTGTTGCTCTGGCAGCTTGTGCTGCATGGGGAGTGCTGAGCAGGCTCACTCCTCTGACTCTGTTGGACTCACACACAGCCTGAGACTGCAGTAAACAGCGCAATGAGAGCATGGCAGCAGCTGAGCGGAGCTGGGCCTGCTTGGCGAATCCACGCACACAGCTGAGTGGGCTGGTCCTTTCAACCCATTTAGGCTGTGCTGCTGTGACTGGAGCACGCTGGGTTTATTATTAACTCCTCTAAAGCTACAGCAGCAGCAGAGGCGGCTTCAACAAGGCCAGAGCCCCTGGCTAATTAACAGGTAAGAATTAATAGGCAAGAAATAGAGGGGGTGGGGAGGGGAACCCACTTGACAGCATTTGCTTTGCTGACAGTGGAGTTATTCTCCTACTAGGCCAAGCCCTTGGCAATGTGTGTGTGGTTAGGAAAAATGTACAGGGCAGCCATCAATCAGGGACCTCTGTCTCTTCCTGCACGGATGAGTGGAAAGGTTGCATAACCACATTCCAGAGTCAGCACAATCTTCTGCCTTTTGGAGGAAAAAAGCAGGTGCCCATCGCATGAGGAAGTGAAAGAAAAACCTGCTGTTTTTATTGGTTTCATGAAAGCTCCTGCTTTCTGGCAGTGATCCTCCTGTACAGGCAGGAATTCAGTAGGTACAGTCAAGTCATAAAGCTGACTGTCATAAAGTACCCCATGTTGAATTTCTGCCTGCCACACAGCTATTAGCAGCACTTAGCTGCATTAGCACCCATTAGCAGCATTTTTCGAGGGAAAATGGTGGCAGCCTCAGCCGTAAGGCAGGCCTCCAGTAGAAAGAGTAATGCAGGGATCATTGAGTGTTTGAATCTGGGAAAATGAGGTTGAATGGCTCCAAGTCCAAGGGATAGGGCAGGATATAAATCTGAGAAATAACCCATAAATAATTTTGGCACCTTGCTGTCTGGTTGGTTTGTTTTTTGGCCCCCCGAAGGGGATTTTTTTTTTATTTTGCATTTTCTACACACTACAAATATGGGATGTGGTAAGGAATACTAATGCCCTATCACTATTACTATGGGAAATGAGTCAGGGAAATCTAGATACATAGAGTCTACTGGATAGGGGAAGGAAAACTACCACTCTATTCTAAATCTTCTACTGGATATGGGGATAGGGTGAAGACTAATACAAATCACGATCTGAAAAGCTAAAAGAATAGATCTTTTTAACCTATTAATAGTTATACAGATATTAGTTCGATTATACAAATATAAAATTATTAGCTTGGCACAATTACTGCCCTTAGCACTCATGCTTTAGTTTTAGAGTCTTTTCTTCTTAGATTTCTTCATTTTCTGCAGTTTGGGAACGGCTTCTCCTTTTCCAATTCAGATGATTCTGATGACGAGGAAATTTGGCTTGTTGAGTCCTGTGAGTAGGACTCCTCCTCCTCTTCTTCTTCCTCCACATCCGGTTTTAGATTCTTTTCCTTCTGCTTCTTTTTTAAATTAAACATTTGATCCATAAATCTTCCCACTTTTGGAACAGAGTCAATTTTATATTTTTAATCCTGGTAATTAAAACTCAGTCCTTCCGGGAATAACCATCTATACGGTGTTCCTTTTTTTGCAGGGAGAGAGTAAGCATCCTGTATAATTTCCTCGGTTTTCTTACTTCAAATGGAATGTCTTTCAAAATTTTTATCTCTTCATTCTTGATTTTTAAGGATTTCCCCATTGTTGACTTTAGCACCAGTTCTCTGGTTGATCGTTTCGTGAATTTTAAGTAAGTTTCCCCTGTTTTATTTATAAAATCCGGATAAGTCCTGTACGCCACATCCATTTCCTTAATTAAGTCTTCTTGTTTATAATCCATTAGTGGAGACAAGGCAACCGCCAAGAGTTCCTTTAAGTCCTCATTCTTATCTTCAGGTATCCCATGGAAATGTAGAATATACATGGATCTTTCCAGCTGGAGCTGTATTAGTTACGTTTTACCTGAGGATCTCTCCTTCTCTGCTTCATCCACTCCACGGCAACGGTACCTATCGGGGAAGAAGGTGAGCCTCAATTCCTCAAGTGTCCCCTTGGAAGAGGCTCTCCTCAGCTCCCCAGGCTGGGGGTCTTCTACAGAGACCCCGAGGGGGGGGGTCCAGGACAAACTCAACCCCTCCCGTCAGCCGGGTCTCAGCACCATCTAAGCTAGACGAGTCGCGTCCAAGTGGCAAAACGCTTAAACCGGAAGTCCTTGCTGCCTGGTTTTTGTGAGGCATTCTAAATGTGATGTATAGTCCCTGTGTAGACCTTCAGGATGTAGGTGGCGGATTACTAGGATTGCCAACCTCCAAGTGGTAGATTGAGATCTCCTAAGATTGCAGAGATTGCAGAGATCAGGTAATGGAAATCAGTTCACCTGGAGAAAATGGCCCCTTTTGAAGGTACTCTATGGCATTATACCCATTGAAGCAACTCCCTTCCCCAAACCCCACCCTCCTCAGCCACCACCCCCAAAAGGAAAGGTGGGGTATAAATATTTCAATACACAAGCAAGCAAACAAACTGTGCTCAGTGCAGTGGTAGGATGGGGTAGGATCTACCTCAGTTTCTTTGTTAGCTTTCTGCAAAAGGAGATTTTTGATATGGGGAGGAGTGCTTGATCAGGACATCCCCCATGGACATTCTGAAGTGGTACAATCCTGGGAGGGTTGTACTGCATGCTTTGGACACAGAGCATCTCCTTTCTTGAGTGTTTTTTTATTGGGCTGAGGCTGGGTAGTTAGGTCACTTCAGTTATATAACACTCGAAAGTGAATGAGGTGGGGTTCCTTTAGGCTGTATGTTGAGTGAAGGTCCTGAGAGGACCAAGTATAGTCAGCTGACTGTCAGCTATTCAGAGGACTGGTGAGTTGCACCAAAAGGCAGAATTGTTCAATAAGACAGCATCAGTGCTCGTGTATTCTGATTCACCAACTTTCAGCATAACTCTCTGTCATGAGAACACAGGCACTACCCTGCCAAAATTATGAGTTTCAATTCCCAGTTTGAAGCCAGCAACCCAAGAACTGGCTGGTTAATTCACATCACAATGCCAGTGTTCACATTTACTGACTTGTCTCCCAACAATGAGAGACAACTCTAGCATTTGGGTTTTGTTTGGATTCAGGGTGTAGGAATGAGCAGATAAATAGAAACAGTAGATTAATACCTGTTTTCAGTTTGATTTAGGAAATCCATGGTCTGCATCTGATCTGGGGTAGAGCTAGTTCTGCTTTCAGCAGTAAAATATGGTGGGTGGGTAGGGTTGCCAGCTCTGGGTTGGGAAATACCTGGAGATTTTGGGGGTGGAGCCTGGGGAGAGCAAGGTTTGGGGAGGGGAGAGACCTCAGCAGGGTATAATGCCATAGAGTCCACCCTCCAAAGCAGCCATTTTCTCCAAGGGAACTGATCTTGGTCATCTAGAATAAAATGTAATAGCAGGAGATCTCCAGATGCCACATGGAGGTTGGAAACCCTTTAGGTTGGGCTACCTATGATTGGTAGTCCTACAGTAAATTTGGTATTTCAAAGGCACTATCATGTACTGTTGATGCTCTACATATGCTGTGGCATCCTTGGCCTTCCCTTTCTTCATGCCCCGCTACTCACTGTTTGCCAGAGTCATCTGAGTAAGAGTAGGATATGAAGGTAATATATGATCTTGAACTTCTTGTGGAAAGAGGGCTCAGTAGGGCTTCTGCACTGATTTGCCTTTGACTCCAGTAGCCATGAATCCACTGTGTTCATATTTAAAAGAACAGCAGACTTTGATACACTGAATGCCTATAATTATGATTTGCAAAGCAGTTGGTATAGTTAAACTACAAATATTAGCTACCACAAATATAATTGAAATGGCTTCAGGGTAGTCATGCTTCTTTTTGGTGATCAACAAAATTGTTTTTAACCTTGCCAAAGATGCAGTTGTGGGATTCTATATTGCTAAAACCCAACTAAAAAAGATCTAGCTATTGACAAGTGACAAGATGATACAGAAGCTTTATAGATTTCTTTTGTAAGAATATATGCAGGATGAAATAATTAAAACAACCATGATCTCCTGAATGAGAGACATTGGCCACTCTATAGAAACATATAAATGGCTGAAAATGTGGAAAACAGTCAGATATGAGATCTATAAGTTATAAAGAGAATATTTTAAAAATGTTTCATAGATGGTACTGGACGCCAGATAGATTAGCTAAGTGTCATAAATCTGTTTCCAACAACTGCTGGAAATGCAAAGGTGTCCGATTCCCCATGCATTCGAAATAAATCCACGTTTGAAGACCAAAGTCAAATTTATTATAAAGCGATGGTTAGATCAGGAACACAAGAATTGTTAGGAATGACTACAGACCCCAAAGGGTAACATAATAAAGGAACTTGAACCAGGTTAGGACCAATGAGTCCAATTCCCGCTGGCGGGAATGCAGATAAAACTAGCGCCCAATTCCTTGGGAACACAACGGTTCTACAACATAAACACAAGTTCAGTTCTCAGGCATGAGATACATTATAAGCAAAGCAACGCCATAACTCCATCCCACCTCCAGCTGGTTGACCTTGAGCAGTTCCGCAGATGTAGCAAGCAAAAGAAAGTAAACACCTACACAGGAGGATACAGGGGGGGATGGACAGAGTACAATGTAACATGTAGGAAAGAACACACCACCCTATGGCAGCTTGCTGACAAAAGGAAATGTGGGAACGTTTTTCCACATGTGGTGGCGTTGTAGCAAGGTTCATAACTTGGTTAAAGGTACAAAAAATAGTATCAGAAATAATGGAACAAAATATTTTTTTAACACCCGAAATGGCTTTGTTAAATACAATCCCGGATAGCTTTGTACAAAAAGATCTGTTGATCTATGTATTGACAACTGCCAGGATATTGTTGGCTAAGTTTTGGAAACTAGAAAAAACCCCAACAAGGGAGGAAATAAGGACAAAACTGCTTGAACTAATACAAATGGACAAACTAAATTTGATGTTACAAGGGAAAGACGAATGTATTCATACAATTAAGTGGGCAAGAGTGTATAAGTGGATAAATAACTCTTGGAAAATGTAGACTCAAATGTATAAGATCTACCATATGTAATACTGGATAAAACTGATTAAAAAAGCTTATAAAAACAAAAAAAAATCGTTTTTAACCTGAATGTTAACAATTCAGTCATTTAATTCCACCTCCACCCCCGTTCTACAATTAAGTTGTTAAAGTAAGTGCAAACTATTCCACACTATGGATGAGAACCAGCCCAGGCACGACTGTCTTTAT